GGGGGGAGTAAAAAAGGTTGCAGCAGAGGATCAAAGTTATGCAGACCGGGACAAATCCACCAGGGACGTGGAAGGGGTGGCGAGGAGGAACCACGCATCGGTCAACCACGGCCGCAAACGGATGAGCAAACACTCGCCAAGGGTCGCTCCACGGGGGGTGGGAAACACGCCACGCGCCCAGCCTCCGCTCCGACGGGCTGCACTGAGAACTTCGCAGTTACCCCCCCCCCCCTCTTGCAAGCCGGGCAAGGGGGGAGTAGGGGGCCAGACCCCCTAACGGGGGTGGGAAGTTGTAAAGTCCGTACCGCTCCTGCTGGGCTAGGCCGGCCGGGCCCAGTGGACCAGGCGAAGGGCCTGAAGGGTCACGGCGGGGTTATGGGGTAGGGGGTAGGGGGTTTGGATTGGGAGAGGGCAGCAGGAACGGCCGAGAGAGATGAAGCAAAGGAGAACACCGACAGATCTGTTTGCCTCCTAAACGCAACAGCCCGACACTTTTCTGTCCCGCAGCACATCACCTACCACGTGGTTCGGCGAGCCATCTTCTCCATGTGGAGCCTGGTCCTGCTGCTGGTGTCGCTGCCGTTGTTCGGCTTCGGCCTGTACTACGACCCCCGGGAGCAGCGCTGCGCGCGCTACCCGCACGCCACGAAGCCCGCTGACATCGCCTACGCTTACGTCTACTTTACATTTGGTAAGTCGGCCTAACAAGCGTGTCCGGCAGGCGTGTCCCGGGCAGCATCTCTAAACTCGTCGGTGTGTTTCATCTGTTTGGACAGGCATGCTGCTGATCGCCAGCATCCTCTGCTGCAACCTGCTGGTGGTGCGGCGGCTGCACCAGGCCGGCCACTCCAACTGGGGCCGCGTGCGCTGCCGGACCGTGGGCTCAATGGGGATGGGGACGTCGTCGGGGTGCTACGAAGGCGACCCCCAGCCGCAGCGGCGGCGCTGGGCGCTCGTCAGGGTGCTGCTGCTGATGCGGCGCGGGCGGCCGGGCGCCGCCGACGAGCCCAAGGACGCCGCGGCGCAGGCCGAGCAGCCGCCGCCCCTCACCCGCCGCTACTCGCGCAGCAGCCGCACGGCGCGCACGCGCGCGCTGCAGCACTCCGAGTCCGTGGACTCGGCCACGCACGAGGAGACGGCCTTCGCCAAGCTCATGGGCTTCCTCTGCGTGCTGTTCGTGCTGTGCTGGCTGCCGCAAATGGTTCGCGCCCCCCTCCTCTCTACTAACGATGCCTTTACAGGCGCCCAGCCGATGTCGCTAACTCACCTAATTCCTCCACCAGATCGCCATCCCCGTCACGCAGCTGTGGCCGGACTGGTCGCCGGGCAAGAAGTTCTCCCGCCTCGCCGACTTCTCGCTGCTGCTGCACTTCACGCTGGACCCGTTCGTGTACGTGCTGCAGAGCTGCACCCGGCGCCACCAGCACAAGTCCGTGACGCCGCCCGCGGCGCACCGGCACCCGGCGGCGCACGCCCCCGGCGCCGTGGGGCACGCCCTGGCGGGGGCGGCGGCCGCGGGGGCCGCGTCGGCCTGGCCAGCCTCGCCGGCCGCCGCGCAGCAGTCCCAGTCCTACATGAGGAAGCTGGGCAGCTCGCTGCGGCTGTGCGGCGCGCTCGCGCTGTGCTCGTGCCGCGGTCAGGGCGAGAGCCGCGGCCGCCGGCGCCAAGACGGGCTGGAGCCCAACTCCAGGGACCTGTCGCTGCTGCACTACCCCTCGGCCTCCGTCATCACGCGCTCGCACCACGTGCCCAATTCGGTCGCACTGTGAGCCGAGAGGCAAGTGTGCTTTCCAGTCTACGCCGAGTAAGAATCGTAGTCCGAGAGGTAGGGAGGGCGGGCCCTCACCCCTCTCACAGCTACCACAACCCAACCGCTATCTCGGAGCCGGGAAGCTCTCGCGTAGCCTGGCCGATTTCGTTTAATCCGTCGAGGTGTGCGTTGTCAAGTAGAATATCCGCAAATGCGGTTCGTGGGTTCCAATTCCATTGCTTCAGTATGGCATGTGTGGCCAGATCTCAAGTTTTAATGTTAATGAAATGCATTCTATAGCGAATATTTATTAAAATTATGTACTTAAGTGTATTTTATTTTCTGGCGTAATACCATAAAAATCTGGATGTGTTGGTCATATTTCCAGACATCCAATGTAACTGAGGATCATACCAGTTCCGGTAATATTCTTATTAGTCAACTGTGCCTTAGAATGACCACGCACAGCATTACTCAGTGTCGTATGGAGAAACCCAGTCAGTATTTTGTAAATAAGCTAAGCTATTAAAGTATGGTAACAGAACTGAAGCACCTTTGACCCTTATCAATGTGATTTAAGACAACTAAGCAGGTGTCCATTAGTAGTTTTACTGCATTAGAGAATGGATGACATTAGAATAAAATATCAAAGTGAAAAAACTTGTTTAAGTGAATTATTTGGGTTGATCACTTGACAATTCTCTAGTCAAATTCATGTAACTAGCAATGCTTGTACTTTGTGCCAATAAAATCTGGAATGAACTCATGTTTGGATTTGTATCCATTTCAGGAAAGGAAAACTGCAATAAGACAGCCAATCACCATTTAAATTTACAGATTTTTAATGATATCCGTAGGACTCGATCACAGCTGTGTCCTTAGCAACCAGCTTGCTGATGTGCTCTGAAGCACCCTTAGTAAGTTTCTGCAAAAAGAAAATTTGCTTTAGACATTGAACTGTGATATGCGAATTACACCTCACAATGTAGGCCGGTATCTCATAAAAATGGCGTTTCATTAGCATCAAATAATGTAGGTAAGTTATTTATAATCATTGAGACCAGTTGGCAAGATAATTGAACTACAATGATGAAGTTTGACACTTACCCTCAACTTGTCCTTCTTGCGGATGTGCAGAACAGCCTTGATCTTACGCTTAGTCTCCAGAGCCCTAACAACGTGCTTGTACTTCCATCCCACTTCATGTGAAAGGCGGCCTACGTGGCAGAACTGAAAGAGAAGATGGCATGTTGTAAAATAAGGTCTAAATTCAAAACTGCACAAACTCAAAACACCAAGAATCTACTACACTTACCTTCCTGCCAGGCTTCAAGCACATGACTCTAAGAGCGCCAGGGACAACAAGATGCTTCCTCTTGTCGTATGGGGGAGGAATACCTTCATAACACTTAAGTCGGTGAGAAGCTGCCTGACCACGTGGTGTCTTGTGAGGCAGCATACCTTGAAATGACAAATGTGTTAAACCATGCAAAAGAAAGCCACTACTACAAGGGAAGTGTCACAACACCTCATAGAAAGTAAGTTTCACAGACATCAAATAATGTAGGTAAGTTATAGGAATAATCATTGGCACAACAAAACGAACCCACTAATAATTAAGTAACATACCTCTCACTGTCCTCCAGAAGATTTCTCTGGGGGCACGGTGGTGGAAAGGGCCTCTTGCAGGGTTAACATTACAGCGTTTACGCAAGAATGAAAGGTACTTCAGCTTAGCCCTGAAACAAACCCACATAATGAAAACACTGACAATCTTAAAACAAGCAACACATTCACAAGTACAATGCTCAGAAATAAAAGGTCAGCATGTGCCAAAGGCTTCTCAGGCGCAAATTACCATAACCATCATTGCAAAGTTCAAAAGTTACATAGCACACCATCAGAGGAAAAATATCAACATTAATTTCAGGCGCAAATTACCTTGACCATCACATGGTGTGCTAATTTAGGTAGACATAACTAAGAAACTCACCTGAAGAAGTTTCCTGAGATGTTTAGCTGCTCGCAACGCAGAACAACCACCTTGCGGCCCTGGAGGAGAGCCTTGGCCGTAACAGCGGCCAGGCGGCCGAGGAGGTGGCCCCGCCCATCTATAACGATTTCCTGAAAAGTATGGAAACTCAATTATAGTCAGAACTAGGCGCAGGTGGCACGGAAAACAGGCAGTGCAACAAAAATTTGTCTGCACCTCATAAGACATTTGTTTCATGGTAATCAAATAATGTAGGTAAGTGTTGATATATAATCATAGGTACATCTATTAGAAATCTACACGTATAATAAGAGTATGGCATGAAATACTGTCACCAAAACATAGCTTGTTAGGAAGCTTGAGAACCGCAGATTTAGAATAAAAGACTGACGGGGAAAACGTCTACCGCGATCTTGACAAACTAAACGGGCAGTTACACAAATGTGATTCAACTTAAGTTCCAGGCTTGTGATAAGCAGCAGGCAACATAACCTTCGACTGCTCAAAAAAACATAAAAGACGTTAAATTGACATAATTAAAAAAAAACAAGCAACAACCAAATACAGTGCAGGATTGCGAATCTTTCAATGAGGATAGTAATCAAAAAAGTACTCGGTACAAAATAGGACCAAACCAACGCGTCAAACATTTAGTGAGGTTGGGACGACCCATGCCGTAACAAATAACAAACAAGTCTTTACTAGAATATTCAAAACACGAGACAATGATGCAAAGGAAACATAACTTTAAGATAGCCAGGGAACGATCACCACCAATAATGAAGAAGAATTATTTGAACGTATGCAACGCAGTGCACACGTGTTAAGAGAGAAAGAAACACAAGTGCGGCTCGTCATGTGGAAACCTCACAAAAATACCCCAACCAAAACTTAGACGGTAAACTTAATAGTCGACAGGAACGATAAACACTGTTTAACACTATTCAGAAGTACCGATAAGTGTTCAAGATCAAAATTAAAGAATAATTCAAATTCATACCTTGTCGGCCCGGCGCGACATTTTCCTCCCATAAACCTAAACCGGAAAAGGGGGTCCACGCTCGGAAGCCAAGGAATAAAGGAGCACCAACTGTGCGCCACGAAGTGAAGTCGGAGGCAGCGATGCCAACTACTAGACCGAAATAGCGCCCCGGAAAGGAAAAAGTAGCCAAGAAAAAGAAGAAAAAGATTGAACGTCGTCTGTCGTCTGTTGTCGGTCGTACGTTGTCGTCAGTCGTCGTTCAGGTAATAATAATTATTCTTAATTTATTTTCATTTTTGCAAGTGATTCATCAAAGCAAATTTCAAAGTTCATCACTATTTTTTTTGTTCTCTTGATTCCATTTCTCAGTGGCTTGACTTGATCGCTATGAGTTTCTTTTGAATATGCTTTGTTGTGGCACAAGGATCCCTTTGACATTTGGTGAATCTGTGTCTTGTATTTTAAATGTGTCCTTTTGATAATTTATAAAATTTTATCATTTTGAAACAAATATATTTTTGGGACCAGATAAATTTTTAATTTTTAACAATATCAAAGATTTGCTTCTCCTATTTTCGCTCTTTACAAAAGGCCAAGTATTTATTGTGGTTAGTAGAGGTTTTTTTGCTTAAATGTGAATTTTTATAAAAATGAACTCAAACTTCTGTGGAGGATGACAATCAGAGATTTTATGTGGGCATCATATGTCTCCATTCTCCTGTTAAAGAAACATCTCTTCTAGTTTCAGAAGGACCAGGACAGAATGGAAGAGAATGGGATTGGTGTTTCAATGGAAGTAGGAACTGAACATGACCGCGATGAATTGATAGAAGGGCAGATCATTAATTCGTCTGATGGTCTTCCCAACATCCATCCAAACTTTTCTGAACTGGAGCTTCATCCTGTGCCAAGTGCTGAAAAACCTAATGGTCGCAGTCTTGATGAACTCATACATGATGAGGATCTGCCTACTTCATTGATAGTTACTAATTTAGGAAGCTCTGTGTTTGAAAATGAAGAACAGAGGGTAATTTTTAATTACTTGCTATTACTCATAATGTATTCACCACATTTTTCTTTCTCATTTCACAGCTATAAAACCCCAAATGCTTTACTTACAGAGACAACTGGAAGAAATGTTTCGAGCATTTGGAGAGCCAGCAACATTTCAATTCTTTCGCAGTTTTAAGAGGCTAAGAGTGAATTATGGATGCCCCGCTTCTGCTGCAAAGGCACGAATTCAGCTCCACCAAACTCAATTTGGTGGTAGAATCATAAATTGTTACTTTGCACAGGTTTGTGTGTTTGAAATGTGCGGCTCTATTGAACTTGTGCATTCCATTAAACATTGATCAACTTGTATTATTGACTTGCAGACCGTCTCACCTGTGGATATAGAGGATCAGCGTCTTCAGCTCCCACCTCTCACGAAACAATTTCTCATTTCACCTCCAGCATCGCCCCCTGTAGGTTGGGAGCCACATAGTGAAGCCGAACCCCTGGTTAATTATGATCTGTTGGCTGCTATCTCAAGGCTTACTCCAGGTAGAATTAAAGATTCTTCTCTTCATGTGGAACATAATTACAATTTATATTGTATATTTCTTGTTCTTTGTGATTTGCGTAGGTGATTCCTATCAACTTCACGCTCCATCTGATCAGCACCCAGGAATAGTTGTCCATGTTTGTGAAGAAGAATCTCATTACAAGCCAGAAAAATCGAGCAGGATACCACAGACACGCTGCCCTGAATTTAATTAAAAGTTAGAATCTATGTTTGAATTAACTTATTTTGGTTCATACGGCACAGAACTACGGTACTTTTCTAATATTCGTCATTGTTGAAAAGTGAAGCTCCTGCGAATTCATCAGTAGTGAAACGGTCTTGCTTGTTTGCACTGCCCAGACTAACCCAAGCAACAGAGATTGGTCGTGAAATGTCAGACTGATGTAAATATGGCGTGTTTTAGGTCGAAAGGATCTCCCGATATGTCATCTTGACGTTTTGTGACCAATCTCTTTTACTTTGGAAACCATCTGTAGTCCTCTTTCTGGTGAGCAGTGGAGTAGCTATAGCTATATGTAGCTCTTTGCTGTGACAGTCAGGGTGCTTTGCCAAAGGTTAAAGCTTTTGTGCCACAATGTAATTCTTATGTTCCTGTATAGCTAATCATATATTATATTGTGGAGAATCATGGACTAGATTTTAAAAAAAAGAATCTACATTGAAATTACATTGAAATCATCATTGATTGAAAGTATATGTGAATGACCAGAAGGTGGCAAATTTTTCATTTGTAAAATGTAGGCTTTATTTGTGGTAAAACCTAATTAGATAAATATCTATACTTCCAGATTTACCTTTTACTTTTTACCTTGAATTTGATGAGTCAAGTGTGAGGAAAGAAGAATTCAGTACACAATCCAAACTATCTTTTGATGTTGTTTTGAAGAGACTAGGAAGACCATTTGTACAATCACCATTGTTGACAAAATTGTATAATATGCCTTTTGTTGAATTTCATATGTGTATATATTTTTCTGATCATATTTCATTGCACTGCCGGTTGTGTTTGTCTAAGTATTCTCTCACTCTGTCCTTATCAACCACTTGCTTCCATCACTAAACAATATATTTTCCTATTTTCTTCTCTAATGTAGAAAGAGTGTTCTGTTTCAAGAAAAAGTTGTTCAGGGAACACTTGTATGATCAAGTGTTGAAGAATGGAGCAAATCACCTCCATTCACCAACTCTTGCTGTTCTTCTTAAAATGGATACGATAGAAAAATCTACGGTATCCTTACCTCATATTTATTTAGCCATGTGATAATGCTTGTACTCTAACTTTTTACTTGTTATTTATTGCCTTAAAGCCTAGTATTAAAGCAATCTACTGCTCTGTTTATATTTTATGTATCCTTTCTTTTAGCTATAGTAAAATTATAAAGGAATAGTTTTCTGTTACCAAGTATGAAGGCGGTCAGCATTTTGAAATAAGTTGATGTAAATACTGAGCAATATCTCTACTTAGCATGTATCAACAGAGTTACTCTCCATTGTTCAAGATAGCACCCTTATTTTTATGTGTAGAACATTTTCAGGGCGTTTTGAATGTTTTCTCTTGTATATTATTTATATCTACACATATGCAAATAACTGAAATGTCAGTTTACGTAAGTAATCACATATCTTCTAAACCTCTTAAGTCTCATTATTCATGTACTTTCATTCTAGTTAATTCAGAATCAAGGCATTTCTGAACAGGAGCTAAAGTAATTCTTTTAAAAATATAGTGTATCCATAAGGTAATGGCTGTGCTGTGCAATTATGTGTGTTACATATTTCATCTTTTCTATTTTATGTAGGGTTAATTAAGGCTCAGATAGTACAAAGAGAACAGCCCTCAGATAATTGCTTATCTTCCTTCATTAGATTTTCTTGTCTTCATTTTTCTCTATTTGAGTTGTTCGTATTTGTCTAAAATTTATATATCTATGCTATGTGTGTCTGTAGTGGGGATTGTGTTGATCAAGACAAGTTTTGTTGCTGTGATTCTGTTAAACCGCCTTGAATGTTCGGACCATACTACTATTCAAAGTTGTTTTGACAACTTGAACAATTTTAAACCAAGAAACCAACATACATTGTGTTTACAAGGGCTTTCTTACCTTACTGTAGATTTATAATTTGAGATTGTTCTTGTATTAAGCCTACCACATAGGTACCTTTTATTTTCCTAAACTCGGGGATATAGGAGAATTCAGAGCTCATTTTAATGAAGCTGAGCTCAATATAAATCTGATAATGCTGTTGTAGCTCGGAAATTACTGATAATATAAGGGAAACATCTGGAGGGTCCCCTGTCTAGAGGGTCCCCCCTGTATATTTTATTATTTTTTATTATTTTCATTTTAAAATTAGTTTTTAATGTTTAAATACTAATTAAATATTAAAATATTGTTTAAAACTATTTTGCGAGGCCTGAGGTGTCTAGAAATTTTCCATCCTGCTTCTTATGTTCTGTTTCTTGCGCTCTTGCTCTCAACAGGAGTGTTAAATGTTGTTTGCGGTCTGTCTAGTAGACATTTGTCTAGGAGAATTAGTTGCTCAGTTCTTTATGCAGTAGGACTTGTTTGGAAGTGTTGAAATGTCGCAAACTTACAAGTGCTTAACACATCCCAAAGTTTAACAAAAATGCTACTGCGCTTCTTTTGGGTTCATCAAGTGCGGGTCAGTAGTTGTTCTTTCAAAAGCACACTGTGCAACGCAACACAAATTCAAAAGACTGTGTACTAAAAGTGATTCACCTTGCAATTGACATCTGGACACTGCGCTTGCTGTATCCAAAGCGAACGCATTAACATTTTTGTTTGACATTTTCATGTCTTACCCACTTGAAAGTTGACGACATTTCCACACTTCAGAAAACGTTCTACTGAATAGAAAACACTAACATATAATTCTAATAGCCTGATGTAAACTATACAGATCGCAACTAGCAAAGAAACACTTCTTCTAAGAAGCAAGAGCCCTACAGCACATTAGGAACCAGTATGAAAAATTCCTAGGCCACTCTGACCTTTAAAAAGTAGGTGTAAACAATATTTTAATATTTTATTAATATTTTAATGTTAAAAACTATTTTTTTAATAAGAACTCTAAAAAATAGTAAAAAATTCAGGGGGGACCCTCTAGACAGGGGACCCTCCAGGACCTACCCTAATATAATCGGCAATGTATTGGTATGCCGACTACTTTTCAGTGTCATTGTTATTCTGCAACAAAGTTTACGTATTGATGTGAAGAAATAAATGGTGAAACGACACCTAAACTCAACTACCTGATCATCTGTTTCCAATGGTTAACCAGACAAAGGTCTGCAAAAGTTTCAAGAATTATCCAGGGATGAGTAAAGTTCAACTAGCTGGGTGTATATTAGAGTGGCAAATTTTGGTGATTTAAAAAACACAAATTGAGCAAAAATAGCTGTTAGACATTTCACTCTATGTACACAATGATTCAGTCATTACAATCAATAAAATAATAAATATACAAGAGCACTTCTAGTTCAGTATTGATACAAAAATACCCTATTTATTTGACAAGGGGAAAAAAGAACATCAGTAACAACAAAATACACAAAGTGCATTAAGTACAAATACATACAAACAAATAACCTGTAGAGATATTTTTTTTTTCCATTCAATCTATCTAAAGCTTAATGACTGAGGCATATTTATAATTTCCTTGTTGAGATTCTCAATGGCCAAATGCAATATTAAGTGTACAACAATTTAACAAATATTGCAATTGAACATTTTAAGATCACAGAGCTAAAAAGTGATGTTTAAAAATAATCTTAACATAACATCCAGTAAACCAACTAAACTACAATGAAGACTTTTAGAATTGTTGAATGCAAAATGAACAAATACAAGGAATTGCAGCAAGAAGTCAATGAGGTGCACTTTGGTTTCCGTGTGATTGTTTTTTTGATGCATATATACTGTTTTTAGAGGACTTAGACTGTACACAATCTTCAACTTTATTCCATATTGTCTTTTTAAAGTATTGATTTAGGCCACAAGGCATTATTATATCACAATCCGAAGCAACAATGCCAGTCGATCACCCAAGAGATAACAGATTAGACTCACTTTACCAAATGATTTTAAAAAATTGGAATCATGCAATTTATACCCACATTATCTCATAGCATCAAGAGCAAACAAGTCCTGCCCCTAAATTTATTAATGGACACATGAAGTTAAATTAGCTAGCAGTCAAGTACAGGGTCATAAGAATAATTATGACAGACCAGTTTGTATTTCTTTTACTGATTAACAGAAGCTGCGTCCAGATACGTGGGTGCATTGGGTGCCTGAGTCTGTGCAGACACACTCTGTGATGCACCCAATGCACCCATGTATCTGGACGCAGCTAGAGCTTGATTTTAAAGTGAAAAATACATCCTTTCCTTTTTTTTCTTCTTTTTTTTTGCATTGATAAAAAATGCATTTTTAAGAAATCAAACAAAAAATACTGTTTTGTTTGAAAACAAAATATAGCTTGCCAAGACTCACTTCCGCATTCTGCTACATCTGATCTTATCATTCATAGGTGATAGCTACAGCTCATATCAATAATTTTAGATCCTGTGTTACAATCACATCAACCCAGCTTTACATGATAGGTAGTAAGGATGGTTGAACTTCATATTGTTTCTCAGAAATATATCAGTATACACATTGTACAAAATGTACAATAAAGTCAAAGAGAAGTCCATAAGAAAACTTACCAATCAATAGAATCAATCAAAAACTACAACAGATTCAATGATTTCAAACACTTTACGTAGTTATGCCTATGGCCTATGGCACGGGTGTCACTACTGGCTGTTTAATTAATCAAACTATTTAAAAGAAAAAATTGAATGTTAATACATAAAAGGTAGACTGGTAAACAAACAAAATAGATATGACTCGCAGAAGTTACGCAATGAGCTCAAGACAAGTTAAATGGTATGGACGGATCACTGCACACATATTAAGAGGTTCTCTGACAATAAAAATAAAGTCCAGGAAATTCATGATGTCATAATCAGCTTCAATTCATGATATAATGATTGAACTATTCCAATTAACAATATTTGATCTTAACGTAGGAGGAAACCACCTTGCAACAATCTAAAACATTAGTATGTGAAAATACATTTGTTCAACAAGATACTTAATAAAATTTGGCTTGTGGAGTACCAGCTCAAGTGGCATCCAGATAAAATACATATATGCAATCACTTTAAATACTGTGTCAGGCCATATAAATAAAGGTGTTAATATCATCTTCATCCCGACGCATATACTTGTGTTCAATTAACCATTCAATTTGCTCTTTAATCATTTTTTTGCTAGGGAGGAACATGTTCTTTAAAATATCAACGAGTTCAGTTTGGAGCTGAGCATTACTCATCTTCTTGCGCATCTTAAGAATTTTAATGATAGCTTCCTGTGATTTTTTTTAGAAAGAAAATCATGTTAGAATGACACTTGCTACCTGTAAAAAAAATAAAATAGCAAACCAAATTAAAACTTACCTGAACACGTAGTATCCTAAGTTGCACAATGCTCTCATTGTCTTCCTCCTTACTTCTTTCAGTAGAAAGCTGAAGTCTACCTACAAGATTAATTTTACCTCTCTTTTGTAACTTTCCGTTTTTGCTATGAGAATAGATAGAAAACATTGTCAGACTCCAGTATTTAAGATTGGAACAGTGACACAATTTCAAGACTTCACTTACACTAGAGCAAACTCTTGATTTACCCAAAACTGAGTATTTTCATCAAAGTCCTTTGGAGACTGTACTTCTGGTCCATACAGCAAAACCTGTCTTCTAATTTTGGGAAATGCAACAAGGGACCATAAAGTGCGTCTCAGCTCAGGATCAGGCAATTCTGTGGCAAGTCTTAGATTTTCGTATGAGATACGATCCTGAGACCTCTGGTTCCAAGCAAATAATACAGCCATTTGAAATGTTGTGACATCTACGTCATATCTTCCCACAGAATTCGCAAAAGTTATCTGCAAGCATACAAATAATTGTAAGATCTTGACCACAAAAAATGTTAAATCAACTGATATAGATTTAAAAAGTAAGGCAGACATACTGTTCCATTGGACATATGATGATACCACTGCAGCTTTCGGCCACTATGTTTTTTCTTGTAAAAATCTTCAACTTCTGGAATATAATCTTCCAGTTCCATGGGAAGTGACACAGTTACACGCTCACTTCCTCGAGCCCACGCACCAGCATTCAATATTTTAATGTTAATAGAATCTGATAATAAAATTATAATGTTGATCAATAGTTAAATCATGGAATTAGAGATTTTAATCAAATATATATTACCTGCTATGCTTCCTCTAGTTGATCTACACTGCTCTTTAAATTGCTGATTGAGATCTTCACTAACTTTTACATCTTGGAACATCCGAGCTAGCTTGTTGACATAGTCAGCTGGCATACCTACTTCTCGTAACCTGCGAAAATGTTTTGAAGACAAGTGATTGTTTGAACCATATTTGCAGTATCAAAAAACACTACTACCAAGAAGATAATTTCAACTATGTATTTAGGGCTTACCATTCTACCATATTTTCTTCTTTTTCAGAATCTGCAGATGTGTCCAAAATAAGACGTCGTGTAAGATGTGCTTTGTGATAGCGCATAAAAACATCTTTATTTTGAACATATTTCAACACAAGGAGCTGGAAAAAGGATAGCATATACATAATAGGGCATATGTAAAAAATATAATATTCGATTGGATGGTATGCAATTAAAGTGTAGTAGACGCATACCACATCTCTAAGTTTGCTCTCAATTTCATCAGACGTAAGTTTCTTGCTAAGGGGAGTTTTTCTCAACAACATATCACAGTAGTTTGCCAGGAGCTCTGGACATTTTGATTCTGGTTGACACTTAACACCTGAGTTCTAAATAAAACATAGGTCAGAAATTTAAAAAAAAAAAAAAATTCTGTGGTTCATGCATGATGATTTAAATACAAAGAAACACTAACCTGTTTGCTTGGAAGCTCAAGACGAAACACTTGAGTATCATTAACAACTTGTTTGTAGGCTTTATCTCTGGCTGTTAAAAAGCGAGGATCATCGCTGAATGCCTCTTTCACAAGAAGGCTGAATTGGTTAAAAAGTTGTAGCAACCTTTCAACATATTTCTCTGAATCCTGATAAGATTTATGATTCAATTGGTTAAAAATACTTAGAGGTAAATATTTTAACTCAAATACATACACTGACAAAATATTTAAACAAACCAACAAACCTGTGTAATGACATCAGCAGAAGCCATCATATCATCAAGGCCAGCTTGTAAAATGTGTTCTACTAAATCATCTAGCATAGGAGAAATACCATCAGGTACTCGATCCATCAGTTTGAACATCAGCTGAAGCTCTGGGGGAGGGAAAAAATCCCAAAAGATATTTTTATGGCAAACAAATTTTAGAGAGAGGATGACTAACTTATTGTGATTACTTATAATTATACGTACTATCAGTTTCATTAGCTTTTATCATGCCAGCACATTCAGCAAGGATTGTGTTTTTGAAAGCTGTCACCAGTACATTCACACAACATTCTGTTAACTGAAATAGATGAAAAAGAACAATTCCTACACTTGTAAATCTCAGTACTTAAAAAATTCAAATTAAATCTTCATAAAAGATTACATAATGACAATTTTAAGGGAAAACTTTCTTAAAAACTTACTAGTTGAACTGAACCACTGCATGATTCAAGATACTTATGAGCTCTTAGCTCCTCCTCCCTTAGTTTTGAATCAGCATAACGCATGTAATTCTGGACACCATTAGCATGTAAATACTGAGGTGCTTTCATTTTGTAGAATGCTTCAGTAGCCTCCATATACGCCTTCTCAAAATTATCCCTATAAATTTGAAGTTTATCTTTTGGATTTGAGCAAAGGTTGACTGTAACAAGATTGGTAGGTATATAATACAGTACATGAAGCAAATTTATTAGAAAAAAAAGATGATATGAATAAGGAATTATTTGTTTGAAAATTACCATAAGACTCTCGAACCCCTATTACAAGCTGTGAATCAAATGCCTCTCCAGCTCTCTCAGCATGCACCAATTTCATAGCTGAGTCTTGAAGGCGTTGCTTTATGTCTGAGAAAATACTTTCATTCCAGCTATCTAACATAAGCTATGGGAAAAAGCGATGGACATGTAAAAACAGATTTATTTCCAAAATACTCAAGTACTTTAGTACTTTTGATAACACACCTTCCGCACAATGCTTGCTTCAGTAGCCGTCTTGAAACCAGGAGTTTTGTAACCTACAAGAGAAGTTTCTAGCTGTCTGAATGGTGTTGGAAGATAATTACACTGTGTGAAAAATTTTCTCCATTCAGCTATGTAAGCCTTCAGAAGTGCCTGATCCTCTTGATGAGACATAACTCTCTAAAATTGTAAAGTTTCATCTGTTAGAGAAGCTCTCGGTAAATGTCACACTATGGAATTTTCTTAGACAAATCTTACCACTTGCGCCTTTTTAATGAACTCCATTATGTCATCTGTCAGGGCATCTCGGACTTTGACAGCCCCCTTCTCATCCCAAAGACACACCGAATGAACATTATAGAATAAATCTTGCCATTCATTTTGAGTTACAGGTTCTTGTTGGAGAAGTTTCAAGACAATGGCTCTCATTGAGGGCCATTTGTCCTCAAATGTGTGTTGCTGTCCTTTATCCTGCTGAAAAAATATAACATTGCGTACTAGGAGGGCATAACATATTCCAGTAGCTTCCCCGCAGACCAAAATAAGAATTGTGTTAGTGGTCTACAACAAGACTATGTAATATACTACAAGTTCCAAATGAATGAAAGTACACACAAGGTGAAAGTATTCAGATAAATGTGATAAATCATTAAGTTAGGTAAACATTAAGAACGGGATGCGGGGAGACCGGTAACGGGGAAATTCGGAAAACTACAGCAAGCTGATCGGAATGGGAATAAGCAGTGGACGTAGAGCTGGAAAGCCCCTCTTAAAGGAGAAAAATCAAAATTAATTCCGTCCACTGTCAGCTCACAGCAAGAATTTCAGCACTGTCATCAGCTAACCTATCTCTCTTTCAGAAAATTGAAAACATGCAAGACGTATCACAATAAATATTAAAACAGAAGTTCTTCTGGTACAGTTCCCCGTGCGTCGTGTAAAAGCGAAATCCTTCCGTAAATATAAGCTTACTTTCAACATTCCGGTTAAATGTAAAACTCCACTTTAAATAAAGTTTGTGAATTTGAGGTTGTTCGGCGGTTGAGGTTTCAGACGGCTTGTTTATGGTTCCAAGCAGGCAGGCGGTGGAAGGGGAAATGAGGGGGGGGGGAGTAT